AGGAAGAAGGAAGGAAGGAAAGGAAGGAAGGAAGGAAGGAAGGAAGGAAGGAAGAAGAAAGAAAGAAAGAAGAAGAAAGAAAGAAAGAAAGAAGAAGAAGAGAAAGGAAAAAAACAGTGAGTTTCCAACGGGAAGGCTGGTTGACCAGCTGGCTGAGGATTTGATGGAGCAACAGCGCCCTCTGCTGTTCGTGGTTATAATTGTTCGTTCACACCCTGGTCACATCTACTGGGATGTGGGGGGCAGAGAGGACAGGGGACATCTAAGGGGCGCATTCCAGACAGCGCTGCCTGAGGGGAGACCAAGAATGTCCCCCAGATGCCCAGGTCCTGCTCCCCTACAATACAATGGAACAGAGCAGCGGTTCTCCACCTTCTGGCCCTTGAATGCAGCTCCCCATGCTGTGGGGACCCCCAACCATAACATTATTCTCGTGGCTGCGTCATCGCTGTCATGTGGCTGCTGTTACGAATCGTCATGGAAACATCTGATCGGCAGGATGGATTTTCATGGTGACACATGGAACATCATGAAAGCTCAGTGATCAATCACAAAAACAATATGTGATTATAGATGTGTTTTCCGATGGTTTTAGGAGACCCCTGGGAAAGGGTCGTTCGACCCCCAGAGGGGCCGCGACCCACAGGTTGAGAACCGCTGGAATAGAGTGAAGTGGAATGAAATGGAATGATATAAATAAATTTTTTAAAAAAACAAGCAGGTAGCATGGCTCAGGGGTTGAGCGTCGACCTGTGAACCAGGAGGTGAGGGTTCAATTCCCGGTCAAGGGCACATGCCCGGGTTGCGGGCTCCATCCCCAGTTGGGGGCGTGCGGGAGGCAGCTGGCCCATGATTCTCTCTCATCACGGATGTTTCTCTCTCTCTCTCCCTTCCTCTCTGAAATACATTAAAGTAGATGATAAATAGATAGATAGATAGATAGATGATATAGATGATAGATAGATAGATGATATATAGATAGATAGATAGATAGATGATATAGATGATAGATAGATAGATAGATAGATAGATAGATGATATAGATGATAGATAGATAGATGATAGATAGATAGATAGATAGATGATATAGATGATAGATAGATGATAGATAGATAGATAGATAGATAGATGATAGATAGATAGATGATAGATAGATAGATAGATAGATGATAGATAGATAGATAGATAAATAGATGATATAGATGATAGATAGATGATAGATAGATAGATAGATAGATAGATGATATAGATGATAGATAGATATAGATAGATAGATGATATAGATGATAGATAGATATCTAGATAGATAGATAGATAGATAGATAGATAGATAGATGATATAGATGATAGATAGATATAGATAGATAGATGATATAGATGATAGATAGATATCTAGATAGATAGATAGATAGATAGATAGATAGATAGATAGATAGATGATATAGATGATAGATAGATAGATAGATAAATAGATAGATAGATAGATAGATAGATAGATAGATAGATGATATAGATGATAGATAGATAGATAGATAGATAGATAGATAGATAGATAGATAGATAGATAGATAGATGTGATAGATACATAGATAGATAGATAGATAGATAGATAGATAGATAGATAGATGATAGATATCTAGATAGAGAGAGAGAGAGAGTTCTACATTGTCTGGCTGGTGTGGCTCAGTGGTTGAGCATCGACCTAGGAACCAGAAGGTCCCGGGTTCGATTCCCGGCCAAGGGCACAGGCCCGGGTTGCCAGCTTAATCCCCAGTAGGGGGCGTGCAGGAGGCGGCCGATCCATGATTCTCTCTCATCATTCATGTTTCTCTGTCTCTCTCCCTCTCCCTTCCCCTCTGACATCAAAAACACAATAATGAATCGATTAAAAAAATAATGAACAAATAAAACAAGGCACAACGCACAATGTGCAGCAAACTGTCAGCAACTGTCCACAGAAACCCCAAGTCACTGGCTAGACAAGCGTGCAAAACAAGACACGTAGCCGAGGCCATCAGTCTATTGACTATTCCTTTTAAATATTTTTTTATTGATTTCAGAGAAGAAGGGAGAGGGAGGGAGAGAAACATCAACAATGAAAGAGAATCATGGACCGGCCGCCTCCTGCACGCCGCCTACTGGGGATGGAGCCCACAACCCGGGCCTGTGCCTTTGACCGGAATCGAACCCGGGACCCCTCAGTCTGCAGGCTGATACTCTATCCACTGAGCCACACCAGCTAGGGCTAATGGACTATTTCTTTAAATATTTTTTTATTGATTTCAGAGATGAAAGGAGAGAGAGAGAAGCATGGATCGGCCGCCTCCTGCACGCCCCCTACTGGGGATCGAGCCCACAACCCGGGCATGTGCCCTTGACCGGGAATCGAACCCTGACCTCCTGGTTCCTAGGTCAACACTCAACCAACCCCTGAGACACGCCGGTGACTACTTTTGCGTGTCAATAGCAGCAGCACACCCGTAGGGGGCGCTACTTCCTGGCCAGGATGGCGCCATACGTGCCCGGGGTCCTCTTGCACTGCACGTCCCCGAAGCCGGCCGCAGCCAGGAGAGCCCGGTACTGGGCGGGCGTCCGCTCCCGGCCCTCCGTCTGCACCAGCATGTTCAGCGAGTACAGCTGCGTGGTCAGAGGTCCCCGCCCGTCGGGGTCCAGGAGGCTCTCGACGACCAGGACCCCACCACCTGCCACAGGGAGAGACAGGATGAGTGAGGGACAAACAAGACGGAGGCAAAGAAATTAAAATACATTTCTTTGCTTTTTATTTTAATTTAATTTTATTGTGTAAAGTGTTACAAACAGCCCTGACTAGTGTGGCTCAGTGGATAGAGCGTCGGCCTGCGGACTGAAGGGTCCCGGGTTCGATTCCGGTCAAGGGCATGGACCTGGGTTGTGGGCACATCCCCAGTGGGGGGCGTGCAGGAGGCAGCTGATCGATGTTTCTCTCTCATCACTGATGTTTCTGACTCTCTATCCCTCTCCCTTCTTCTCTGTAAAAAAAAATCAATAAAATATATTTATTTAAAAATAAAATAAATAAAGTATTGCCTTTCAGTCCATAGGCCAACGCTCTATCCACTGAGCCACACCGGCCAGGGTCCATTAATAATTCTTTTTTTTAATATATTTTTTTATTGATTTTTTACAGAGAGGAAGGGAGAGGGCTAGAGACTCAGAAACATCTATGAGAGGGAAACATCGATCAGTTGCCTCCTGCACACTCCCTACTGGGGATGTGCCCGCAACCAAGGTACATGCCCTTGGCCAGAATCGAACCCGGGACCCTTGAGTCCGCAGGCCAACGCTCTATCCATTGAGCCACACTGGCCAGGGCTCCATTAATAATTCTTTCTCCCTTTTGGCCTCGTCCATTCCTCCTTCGCCGACCCTAACAGTTTCCAAATCTCCATGGACTTTAGCATGAACGGGCCTCAGGGGACATTCGGGGGGGGGGGGGGGTGGTTCCCAGCCCACCCACTGGCTATGCCCGTTGTCTCCTGGATCTTCAGATGGATGGATCTCAAGGGACATCCAAGGGTTGGTCCCCCCCACACACACAGAGAGACTGTGCCCAGGTCCCTTGGGCCTCCTGATGGATGATCGGGCCTCACAGGACACCGGGAACCATGGCCCCTCCCCCCCGTCACCTACCTGGCTTGCAGGCCTCATGGATTCTCGCCAGCAGGTGAGAGCATCTCTCATCGGGCCAGTCATGTAGGACCCGGGCCAGGATGTAGAGATCGGCCTCCGGGAGGGGGTCCTTAAAGAAATCGCCTGAAACACAGGGTAGGGGTCCCAGGGTCAGCCCTGGATGCAATCCCATTGGACTGGAACAATGGAAAGGTCACCTAGGCCAGGCTGGGCTGGGGTGGGTCAGTTGGTTGAGTGTTGACCTAGGAACCAGGAGGTCACGGTTCGATTCCTGCTCAGGGCACAGGGCCGGGTTGCAGGCTCGATCCCCAGCAGGGGGCGGGCAGGAGGCAGCCGGTCCATGATTCTCGTCAATGAGAACATGTTTCTATCTCTCTCTCCTTCTCTGAAATCAAATCATATCAATCAATCAATCAATAGAAGTCTACATTGCCCAATCAATCAATCAATAGAGTTCCCCATTGCCCAATCAATCAATAGAGTTCTATTACACTGCCCAGCCAGTGAGGCTCAGTTATTGAGCAACAAACTGTGAACCAGGAGGTCAGGGTTCGATTCCCGGTCAAGGGCACAGGCCCGGGTTGCGGGCTCCATCCCCAGTGGGGGGCGTGCAGGAGGCGGCCGATCCGTGATTCTCTCTCCTCATGGATGTTTCTCTCTCTCCTTCTCCCTTCCTCTCTGAAATCAATTAAAATTAATTTAGATGATAGATAGATGATAGATAGATATAGATATAGATATAGATAGATGATAGATAGATAGATAGATATAGATATAGATAGATGATAGATAGATATAGATATAGATATGGATATAGATATAGATATAGATAGATAGATATAGAGATAGATAGATAGATAGATAGATAGATAGATAGATAGATAGATAGATAGATGATAGATAGATAGATAGAGTTCTACATTGCCTGGTCAGCGTGGCTCAGTGGTTGAGCGTCAACCCAACCTATGAACCAGGAGGTCCCGGGTTCGATTCCTGGTCAAGAGCACAGGCCCGGGTTGCGGGCTCCATCCCCAGTAGGGGGCATGCAGGAGGCGGCGGGCCCATGATTCTCTCTCATCATTGATGTTTCTCTCCCTTCCTCTCTAAAATCAATCAATATATATATATATATATATATATATATATATATATATATATATATATATATATTTTTTTTTTTTTAAAGTTCTACGTTGAGGGCGTGTCTTTGGAGGGTGGAGGAGTCACTCGGACCCCCCACCGTTGGCCTCTCCCAGCCTCGGGTACGCATCCACGTGTCCCCCGTGGACACAGACAGCAGGCGAACACCCACCTTCCTGGAAGCTGATGGGTCCTTCCTCGGGGGACAGGAAGTGATCCTTTGCCGTCTGCACCACGGATGGGAGGTCGAATACGGTGACCCGACACCCCGGGTACAGAGAAACACACGCCTTGGCCAGAGCCCCAGAACAGCCTGGGAGTGGACACAGAGGGTGGCGGGCAGAGAGGAAGGTCTGAGCAGCCCCCATCAACCCCTGAGGGTCCAGGAGGCCTCCCCTGGGATTGCTCCCCAGCATCTGGGGGAGGGGACAGGATGACACCTCGGACGCAAGCATCCGTTCTTAGGCTGGGAGACCCCGTGACGATGCTGGTGTGGCCCATGGACCGGCCCCATCCCGGGAGGTTGTCAGAAACTCAGATTCTCGCTCAGTGGTTGAGCGTCGACCTATGAGCCAGGGGGTCACGGGTTCGATTCCCGGTCAAGGGCACATGCCCCGGGTTGTGGGCTCCATCGCCTATAGGGGGGCGTGCAGGAGGCAGCCGATCCATAATTCTCTCTCATCATGGATGTTTCTCTTTCTCTCTCTCCCTCTCTGGACTGAAATCAAATCAATCAATTAATCAATCAGTAGAAGTCTACATAGCTCAATCAATCAATAGAATTCTACATGGCCCAGCCAGTGTGGCTCAGTTGTTGAGTGTCAACCTAGGAACCAGGAGGTCAGGGTTCGATTCCCGGTCAAGGGCACAGGCCCGGGTTGCAGGCTCCATCCCCAGTTGGGGGCGTGCAGGAGGCAGCCGATCCATAATTCTCTCTCATCATGGATGTTTCTCTCTCTCTCTCCCTCTCTGGAATCAAATCAATTAATCAATCAGTAGAGTTCTACATGGCCCAGCCACTGTGGCTCAGTGGTTGAGCATCAACCTATGAACCAGGAGGTCAGGGTTCGATTCCGGTCAAGGGCACAGGCCCGGGTTGCGGGCTCCAATCCCAGTAGGGGGCGTGCAGGAGGCGGCCGGTCCCTGATTCTCTCTCATCACGGATATTTCTGTCTCTCTCTCTCTCTCCTTTCCTCTCTGAAATCAATAAAAAAATGTATATATTTTTTTTAAAAATGCACAAAAGACAAGGGCCCAGACACTCCCCGTGCAGAATTGTAAACATGTGGGTTGGACGCTCACCCCCAAGGTCACAGATGAGCGGGAATGGTGACAGGTCAAAGGCAGCCAGCACACGGCTCCCCTGGACACTCCAGACGTCCTGCAGGGCCTGCATGAACAGCAGCCGCTCCCCCTCGGACCTGGCGTGGGAAACCCCGGGAAACCAAACTCCTCAGAACCATGCGGAATGTGAACCAGAAGGTCCCGGGTTCGAATCCCGGTCAAGGGCACAGGCCCGGGTTGTGGGCTCCATCCCCATGGGGGGCGTGCAGGAGGCAGCCGGTCCCTGATTCTCTCTCCTCATCATGGATGTCTCTCTCTCTCCCTCTCCCTCTCTGAAATCAATAAAAATATGCTTTAAAAAAATAAAAAAATATTTATGTATTTTTTTCAATAAAGTAAAATAATAAGTTGGGTTTGCACATAGTCATTCCAAGACAAGGGCAAATTCTACATCTAATCAGAACCTTGATCTACCCAGACATTACAACGGCAACATCTGTTTGTTTGTTTTTAATTTAATTTAATTTAATTTAATTTAATTTTTTTAAAAATATATTTTATTGAATTTTTGCAGAGAGGAAGGGAGAGGGATAGAGTTAGAAACATCAATGAGAGAGAAACATCAATCAGCTGCCTCCTGCACGCCCCCCACTGGGGATGTGCCCGCAACCAAGGTACATGCCCTTGACCGGGAATCGAACCCGGGACCCTTCAGTCCGTAGGCCGACGCTCTATCCATTGAGCCACACCGGCTTCGGCTGTTTTTAATTTTAAATTAAATATCGACGTCAATGTGTTTGGCTCTATTTGGACACAATTATTCAGTCCGGGGAGGGGAACAGTTTATAAACGACATGATGGTCTAACCACTTCACTGTACACCTGAGACGAAGCTAAAACAATATTAAAGGAAAACTCTAATTGCAAAAACATTGTCAATAAAAAAATGCAAAAATAAAAATAAAAATCCTAGCCGGTGTGGTTCAGCAGTTGAGCATCGACCTAGGAACCAGGAGGTCCCAGGTTCGATTCCCGGTCAAGGGCACAGGCCCGGGTTGTGGGCTCCATCCCCAGTCGGGGGCGTGCAGGAGGCGGCCGGTCCCTGATTCTCTCTCATCATGAATTTTCTATCTCTCTCTCCCTCTTCCTTCCTCTCTGAAATCAATAACATTATTTTTTTTAAAAAACAGACTTTAGCCCTAACCGGTGTGGCTCAGTGGATAGAGCGTCAGCCTGGGGACTCAAGGGTCCCGGGTTCGATTCCCGGTCAAGGGCATGGACCTCGGTTGCGGGCACATCCCCAGGGGGGGGGTGTGCAGGAGGCAGCTGATCAATGTTTCTCTCTCATCGATGTTTCTAATTCTCTATCCCTCTCCCCTCCTCTCTGTAAAAAATCAATAAAATATATATTTTTTAAAAAAACAGACTTTAAAATAAAATAAAATACTACATCACCTATAAATAATAATAATAAGCATAATGCTATGAGAGTAAGGACTTTGCATTACCTGTAGATGGCGGTAAAGAGCTGCTCTGAGGGAACCCCAAACGCCTTCAGATACTGGTTCTTCCCTTCTCTGAAATGGGGGGCGGGGGTTGAGAGGGGGAAGCTGTCACCCCAGTTCTGAGAGATCCCTTAATTAGTCAATCGATTCACACAGGTGGTCACCCATCCTCCCCTTCAATCACAGATGGGACACGCCGGACGCGTAACTGATCGGCAAAACACGCTCTCACTTTCCTTTCTGGGGCGAAAGACTCGCGTGTTCAGGGCTGGAGGGTCCCCGACCAGCTCAGCCCTCTGACGTGAGCCAAGGAGGAATGAAATGTAACAGAAAGAGTGACTGCCCGGCCAGTGTGGCTCAGTGGTTGGGCATCGACGCCTGCAGGTGACGGTCAATCAATATTTCTGTCTTATCAATGTTTCTCTCTCCCTCTCCCTTTCCCTGCCTCTCTCTCTAAAAAATAAATTAATAAAAATATGTTTTAGCCCTGACCGGTGTGGCTCAGTGGATAGAGCATTGGCCGGCGGACTCAAGGGTCTTGGGTTCGATTCCGGTCAAGGACATGTACCTTGGTTGTGGGCACATCCCCAGTGGGGTGTGTGCAGGAGGCAGCTGATCGATGTTTCTCTTTCATCGATGTTTCGGACTCTCTCTATTCCTCTCCCTTCCTCTCTGTAAAAAAATCAATAAAATATATATTTTTTTAAGAAAATATGTTTTAGTCCAACTGGTGTGGCTCAGCGGTTGAGCATCGACCCATGAACCTGTAGGTCTCGGTTCGATTCCCGGTCAAGGGCACAGGCCCGGGTTGTGGGCTCCATCCCCAGCAGGGGGCGTGCAGGAGGCAGCCAATCAGTGATTCTCTCTCATCATGGATGTTTCTATCTCTCCCTCCTTCTCCCTTTCTCTGTGAAATCAATAAAAATATATATTTTTAAACATATATGAAAAAAGAGTTAGACAATGATGAGCCTTTTGGGGACACCACACTCTAAAATGACTCCTCAACCAGCATGTGTGGATAGGAAATGCCTTATAGCTGGCAAGCCAGCTGGTCTACCTTCGATTGGAGGGCCAGCTGGTCTACCTTCGATTGGAGGGCCGGCTGGTCTACCTTCCATTGGAGGGCCAGCTGGTCTACCTTCGATTGGAGGGCCAGCTGGTCTACCTTCAATTGGAGGGCCGGCTGGTCTACCTTCGATTGGAGGGCCGGCTGGTCTACCTTCAATTGGAGGGCCGGCTGGTCTACCTTCAATTGGAGAGCCAGCTGGTCTACCTTCAATTGGAGGGCCGGCTGGTCTACCTTCAATTGGAGGGCCGGCTGGTCTACCTTCGATTGGAGGGCCGGCTGGTCTACATTCAATTGGAGAGCCAGCTGGTCTACCTTCGACTGGAGAGCCAGCTGGTCTACCTTCGACTGGAGGGCCGGCTGGTCTACCTTCCATTGGAGGGCCGGCTGGTCTACCTTCGATTGGAGGGCCGGCTGGTCTACTTGCAGCTGGAGGGCCAACTGGTCTACCTACAGCTAGTGGGGCAGCCAGCTGGTCTACCCCAGCTCCTCCTCCTCCTCCTCCTCCTTCTCCCCCTCTTCTTCCTCACTCCTCCTCCATTTCCTCCTCTTCTTCTTCCATCTCCTCCTCCCCCTCCTCCTCCTCCTCCTTCTCCCTCCCCCCAGGCATGTCCAGAACAACTGTCTCCCAGAAACACATCGATGGGTTGCCTCCTGCACGTGCCCCAACCAGAGCCCGGGCCGGGGAGGAGCCTGCCACCGAGGTACATGCCCTTGACCAGAATCGAACCCGGGACCCTTTGGTCCCCAGGCTGACGCTCTATCCACTGAGCCACACTGGCCAGGGCCACAAGGACTTCTTATCAACAGATTCAGATGAAGTGACTTTCACGGGTCAACACCAGGTCACTTAACACATTGCAGACGGATTCCGAGAATTCTCGCTTCATGTCACACAGTGTTTAACAAAGTCTCAGACTTTAAAAAGACATTAGCTTGGCCCTGACCTGTGTGGCTCAGTGGATAGAGCGTCGGCCTGCGGACTGAAAGGTCCCGGGTTCGATTCCTGGTCAAGGGCATGTACCTGGGTTGCGGGCACATCCCCAGTGGGGGGTGTGCAGGAGGCAGCCGATCGGTGTTTCTCTCTCATCGATGTTTCTAACTCTCTCTCCCTCTCCCTTCCTCTCTGTAAAAAATCAATAAAATATATTTTTAAAAAAACAAACAAAAAAACGACTGGTCCGCAGAACATCTGATCTGATTTTCCCAAACCTGGAGGTGGCCCATTTGGTTCTGCCAGGAACCTGGCATCCAAGACCCCAGTGCCCTGAACCAGCCCCTGGCGGCCGCCCCATCGACGCCACGCCCACCTCACGGCCTGGGCCAGGTGCGCCCAGCACAGGTAGGTCGTCCTGGCCAAGTAGAGCATCATGTGGCGCTGGGACCTGGGACTGGACCGGACCAGGTAGGTGCTGGAGAGCTCTGTGTTGTCATACAAAGCTGGGAACCGACAAAAACACACACACAAAAAACAAACAAAGAAAAGTAAGTTAAATTTGTAGACGTGTCTGCAGGCCGTCACAACATCATGATGTACAATGTTTTTAATAGATTTTTTTTTTATTGATTTCAGAGAGGAAGGGAGAGGGAGAGAGAGAATCATGGACCGGCTGCCTCCATGCCCCCCCGTTGGGGATCGAGCCCACAACCCGGGCATGTGCCCTGACCGGGAATCGAACCCGTGACCTCCTGGTTCCTGGGTCGACGCTCAACACCTGCGCTACACCTGGCTGGGCTGAATTTTTTAAAATATATATTTTTATTGATTTCAGAGAGGAAGAGGAAGAGAGAGGGAGAGAAACATCCATGAGGAGAGAGAATCAGGGACCGGCTGCCTCCTGCACACCCCCTACTGGGGATCCAGCCCTCCAACCCGGGCCTGTGCCCTGACTGGGAATTGAATCCGGGACCTCCTGGTTCCTAAGTCGATGCTCAATCACTGAGCCACACTGGCCGAGCTTTTCCTGGTTGTAGCATCTTTATTTTTTTTTTAAATATATTTTAATGATTTTTCACAGAGAGGAAGGGAGAGGGATAGAGAGTGAGAAACATCGATGGTAGAGAAACATCGATCAGCTGCCTCCTGCAAACCCCCCACTGGGGATGTGCCCGCAACCCAGGTACATGCCCTTGACCAGAAATCGAACCCAGGACCCTTCAGTCCTCAGGCCGACGCTCTATCCACTGAGCCACACCGGTCAGGGCTGTAGCATTTTTCTATTCCTCTTTGGACAGGGGCCCAGTGTGGCCTTTTCATGAAGAAGAAGGGGCTAACCCTTAACCACCTCTGACCAAGTTGTCATAGCAGCTGAACGCCTGTGGGTGTCTCCCATGGACCCCAAAGCTGGGCCCACAAACCCAGGCCAATGTTCGCACCCACAATCCCACCAGGGACATGGCTCCTCGTTTCAGCAAAATGCTCACCGCCCGTCGCCGCTGTGCCCAGCCCACACTCCCCTGCTTTCTTGTACCAACTCGAGCGATGGTTTCTAGACTCTGCAATTTCACGGACGGACAGACGGACGAAAATCCTTAACATGCCCTGAAGCCTCAACCCAGGGTGAACGATGTTGAAATTTGCAAAGTAAGAGCCTCCTATCTAATAAAAGGCTAATCTGCAAATTGACCAAAACGGTGGAACGGCCGGTCGCTATGACGTGCACTGACCACCAGGGGGCAGACGCTCAGCCAGAAGCCGGGCTCACGGCTGGCGAGTGCAGCGGCCGTGGCGGGAGCCTCTCCTGCCTCCAGCACATCCCCTGAGGGCTCCCGGACTGTGAGAGGGCGCAGGCCAGGCTGAGGGCACCCCATAACCAGGAGGCAGCCGATCCGTGATTCTCTCTCATCATGGATGTTTCTCTCTCTCCCTCTGTCTCTCTGTCACTCTCTCTTCTCTCTGAAATCAATTCAAAATAATAGTTTCAAAGTACACTTACCTTTTCCTCCCCTCGTTTCCACCTGAAGGAGCTTGAGGGACACACAGGTGTCCAACAGCAGCTCCATCCCCCGGGAGCTGGTGCCCAGATGTGCGGCCACTGCTTCCGATCCCAGCGGCCCCGGGGCCTCGGCGAGGACGTCAAACACTCCCAGGTCGCACGCGGCAAAGAGAACCTGGGAAGAATTGAAAGGAGGGACTCCACGGATCCTTGTACAGCTGTGTTCATGGCGTCATGGTTCATAGCAGCCAGGAGGCGGGAGCAACCCAAGTGCCCATCGATGGATGAGGTAATACAGGGCCCGTCCAGAGTGGAATAGTATGCAGCCATGAAAAAGGACTGGCATCTGACACCTGGTACAACACGGATGGACCTTGAGGTCAGGAAGTGACGTAAGCCAGACACGGAAGGACAAATCCCGTAGGATTCTACTTAGATGAGGTCCCTAGAGTCACAGATTTGCAGAGACAAATTCGATGGGGGAGGGGCTGGGCAGTGAGTGCTCAAGGTGGACAGAGTGTCAGTAGGGACCTGAAGCCGACGGGCGTGCAGGAGGCAGCCGATCCATGATTCTCTCGCATCATGGATGTTTCTCTCTCTCTCTCTCTCTCTCTCTCTCTCTCTCTCTCTCTTTCTTCCTCTCTGAAATCAGTAAAAATATATATTTTTTTAAAAAAGAAAAATTAAAAAATTAAATAAATATATATATTTTAAAAATTATAAATGAAATGAAAACGTCACTCTGAGCTGGGGTCCCTGGGTGCCCCACAAACCCCCAAGAAAGGTCCCCGTGCCCCAATGGCCAGGCGTCTGCTTGTTGGCTTCCTATAGTCCCAGAACATTGGGGTCACCCCCAAACGAGACCCCCCCACACCCATCAAGCACCTCCTCCCCATCCCCTACCCCCTCTCCCACCCACAGCATCCGATCGCCCCCCTGTGGCCCCTAATTCCAGAGGCCCCTCCTACCTGGGAAACCATGAACCCCTGGGAGTACTGGTCCAGGAGCCCCAGGCTGGGGTGCCCCTCCGGGCAACTCATTTCCTTCCGGCTCTGAGGGTCCCCTGGGGAGGGGTTCCAGGCTGCAGGGACAGTGGTTAGAGCGTGGCCGGTGTTGCTCAGTGGTTAGACCGCCGGCCTGCGCACGGAAAAGGTCGCGGGTTCGATTCCAGGTTGAGGGCTCGAGGTACGTGGGTTGCAAGTTCGCGTCCGGCTGGCCCAGAGCTGGGTGCCTGCGGGGCCACTGGTGGATGTGTCTGTCTCTCACTTTGGTCTCTCTCTCTCTCTCTCATGGGGGTGGGGGGGAGGCAATGGAAAAAATATCCTCAAATGCAGATTAACAAGAAAGAAAGACAATAATCCCATGGGCTTTATTAAAGGGATGATTCGGCTTATACGTTCCCCCTGTTGGCTTTCGGCTCACACACGCTGCCCTTAAGTCAGCGGTTCTCAACCTTCCCAAGGCCGCGACCCTTGAATACAGCTCCTCATGCTGTGGGGACCCCCAACCATAACATTATTCTCGTTGCTGCTTCATCACTATACCTATATCATCTATATCTATATCATCTATATCTATATTATCTATATCTACATCTACATCTATATCATCTATATCTATGTCATCTATATATCATCTATAGCTATATCTACATCATCTATATCTATACCTATATCTATATCTATATCATTTATATCTATATCTAATCTATATCTATATATCTATATCTATATCAGTGGTTCTCAACCCTCCTAAGGCCGTGACCCTTGAATACAGCTCCCCATGCTGTGGGGACCCCCAACCATAACATTATTCTCGTGGCCACGTCATCGCTGTCATGTGGCTGCTGTTATGAATCGTCATGGAAACATCTGATCTGCAGGATGGATTTCCATGGTGACACATGGAACATCATGAAAGCACAGTGATCAATCACAAAAACAATATGTGATTATATATGTGTTTTCCGATGGTCTGAGGCGACCCCTGTGACAGGGCCGTTCGACCCACAGGTTGAGAACCGCTGCTCTAAGGGATCCAGGCCATTACAATAATTTCTTACGTAATTTTCAAATTTTAATGAGTTCAGGTTTAAATTAAATTTTATTTTATTAAAAATTGATTTGTGCGCCCTAGCCGGTTTGGCTCAGTGGATAGAGCGTCGGCCTGCGGACTCAAGGGTCCAGGTTCGATTCCGGTCAAGGGCATGTACCTTGGTTGCGGGCACATACCCAGTGGGGAGTGTGCAGGAGGCAGCTGATTGATGTTTCTCTCTCATCGATGTTTCTAACTCTCTATCCCTCCCTCTCCCTTTCTCTAAAAAATCAATAAAATATATTTTAAAAAAAAATTGATTTGTGCAATGGGGGGGGGAAGGAGACATATGTACTACTATTTGTAATATTTTAAATAAAATAAATGTTTTTTTAAATATGATTTGTGTACATTTTTTTTTAAATGTTTTATTGACTTTTTACAGAGAGGAAGGGAGAGGGATAGTGAGAAACATCGATGAGAGAGAAACAGCGATCAGCTGCCTCCTGCACGCCCCGCTCCGGGGATGTGCCCGCAAACATGGTACATGCCCTTGACCAGAATCGAACCCAGGACCCTTCAGTCGGCAGGCTGACACTCTATCCACTGAGCCAAACCGGTTGGGGCCATGTACATTTTTCTTGCTGGAATTCTGTTGCTATAGGATTTGGACATAAAAAGAGCTGTGCTCTGTGTCCCCTTAAGGAATTTTTTTTTTTTAATCCAGAACCTTTGACTAATTCATTTTCATTAAATATTAAAAACGTTTCCTGAGTCCTAGATAAAATTCGCTGCCAATTCATTTTTAATGGTAATTCCGTATTTTTCATTTCCGTTGTGGGATTTTAAATTGTTTTCTTTCCTCAGTCAAAATTAACATGTACTAAAATGTTTATAACAAAGTTTATGCTTTTAACTTCATCAAATTGACTAAGTAAACTCTGATTGTCATACAGAAGAATAAAAATAAATAAATGATTTGTGGCTATTTTCTTATTTATTTAACATATTTTTATTGATTTCAGAGAAAGGGAGAGGGAGAGATAGAAACATCAATGATGAGAATCATGGACCGGCCGCCTCCTGCACGCCCCCTATTGGGGATCGAGCCCACAACCCGGGCCTGTGCCCTTGACCGGGAATCAAACCCGGGACCCTTCAGTCCGCAGGCCGACGCTCTATGCACTGAGCCAAACTGGCTAGGGCTAAATTTTATTTTTTTTAATGGAAAAAAAATATTAAAACAAAGGGGACTACATCCATCAAATGGAAACATTTGGGGCCAGTAAAGGTAGCCATTCACCAAAGAAAAAAATAATGCCCTGGCTGGTGTTGCTCAGTGGATAGAGCATCGGCCTGCGGACTGAAGGGTCCAGGGTTCGATTCCCGGTCAAGGGCACGTACTTTGGTTTCGGGCACATCCCCAGTCGGGGGCGTGCAGGAGGCAGCCGGTCCATGATTCTCTCTCATCGTGGATGTTTCTGTCTCCCTTCCTCTGCAAAATCAACCAAAATGTATTAAAATATATATATATATATTTTAAAAAGAATAGCATGTTTTTCCTTACAATAATAAAGATTTTTTTTAAATGACAAATATTTTTTTAAAAAAATTGCATGTTTTCCCCGGCCGGCGTGGCTCAGTGGTTGAGCGTCCACCTAGGAACCAGGAGGTCCTGGGTTTGATTCCCGGTCAAGGGCACATGCCTGGGGTTGTGGGCTCGATCCCCAGTAGGGGGCGTGCAGGAGGCGGCCGATCCTTGCTTCTCTCATCATGGATGTTTCTCTCTCTCTCCCCCCATCTCCCTTCCTCTCTGAAATCAATAAAAATACATTTAAAAAATAAAAAAAGGAGGGAATCTTTGGCACCGCCTTACGGACTGGCCACGCATGGATGGCATTTGCTTGATTAAACTGTAAGCAGCCTTTCTTAAGACGGACAAATCCCACCAAATCCCCCGGCTGAGGGAGACCCACGAAATCTCCCGTTAAGGCGATGACCCTGCTAATGAGATGGGAGTGAGAAGGACGGGACGGACTCCCTCAAAGGCGGGATTTGAGGCGTGAAAATCCAGGTCGGTGCCTGGGTTCCCCCTCCCCCCGCAGAGTCTCCAAAACAAACAGAAAGTGAGAGGCCCTGGTGACCGATGAGAATCCACGGGTTTTCCAAACGAGAGAACGTAAGGGGACAAGGGTTCTTTAAGCACAAACCTAGCCCGGCAGGGTGGCTCAGTGGTTGAGCACTGACCTGTGAACCAGGAGGTCAGGGTTGGATTCCCGGTCAAGGGCACAGGCTGGGGCTGGGGGCTCGAGCCCCAGTAGGGGGCGTGCAGGAGGCAGCCGGTCCATGAATCTCTCATCATGGATGTTTCTCTCTCTCTCTCTCCTTTCTTTTCTCTGAAATCAATCTATCATAACAGCATAATATGCTAATTAGACTGGACAGCCAAACCACCTTCAGGGCTCCTTCCAGACTAAGGGGGGGGGGGCGAGGCATAGGCAGTTAGGGGTGATCAGGAGCAGAGGCAGGCTAGTGGTTAGGGGTATCAGGCAGGCAGAGGGGTTAGGGGCGATCAGGCAGGCAGAGGGGTTAGGGGCGATCAGGCAGGCAGAGGGGTTAGGGGTGATCAGGCAGGAGATCAGTTAGGGGTGATCAGGCAGGCAGAGTGGTGCAGTTAGGGGCGATCAGGCAGGCAGGAGAGCAGTTAGGGGTGATCAGGCAGGCAGAGTGGTGCAGTTAGGGGTGATCAGGCAGGCAGGAGAGCAGTTAGGGGCGATCAGGCAGGCAGAGCGGTTAGGGGCGATCAGGCAGGCAGGAGAACAGTTAGGGGCGATCAGGCAGGCAGGAGAACAGTTAGGGGCGATCAGGCAGGCAGGAGAGCAGTTAGGGGCGATCAGGCAGGCAGGAGAGCAGTTAGGGGCGATCAGGCAGGCAGGAGAGCAGTTAGGGGCGATCAGGCAGGCAGGAGAACAGTTAGGGGCGATCAGGCAGGCAGAGTGGTGCAGTTAGGGGCGATCAGGCAGGCAGAGTGGTTAGGGGCGATCAGGCAGGCAGGAGAACAGTTAGGGGTGATCAGGCAGGCAGGAGAGCAGTTAGGGGCGATCAGGCAGGCAGAGTGGTTAGGGGCGATCAGGCAGGCAGAGTGGTTAGGGGCGATCAGGCAGGCAGAGTGGTTAGGGGCGATCAGGCAGGCAGGAGAGCAGTTAGGGGCGATCAGACAGGTAGGAGAGCAGTTAGGAGCAATCAGGCAGGCAGGAGAGCAGTTAGGGGCGATCAGGCAGGTAGAGTGGTTAGGGGCGATCAGGCAGGCAGGAGAACAGTTAGGGGCGATCAGGCAGGCAGAGGGGTTAGGGGCGATCAGGCAGGCAGGAGAACAGTTAGGGGCGATCAGGCAGGCAGAGTGGTTAGGGGCGATCAGGCAGGCAGGAGAACAGTTAGGGGCGATCAGGCAGGCAGGAGAGCAGTTAGGGGCGATCAGGCAGGCAGGAGAGCAGTTAGGGGCAATCAGGCAGGCAGAGTGGTTAGGGGCGATCAGGCAGGCAGGAGAGCAGTTAGGGGCGATCAGGCAGGCAGGAGAGCAGTTAGGGGCGATCAGGCAGGCAGAGTGGTTAGGGGCGATCAGGCAGGCAGGAGAGCAGTTAGAAGCCAGCGTTCAGGATTGTGAGAGGGCGCAGGCTGGGCTGAGGGACCTCTCGCCCCCGTCCCCTGGTACTAATTTCGTGAACCCCGCCTATAGTATAAATATATTTAGAGGAAAAAAAACCCAACCAACCCCTGCGAATTAGCGCTTCTAGGAAAAGCGATTCCTATCAGTTTCAAAGACACTGACCGGGGCTCAGGTGAAAGAACTACAACAAAGCAAGCAGAGAAGTTCATTGGAAAAGTTTATTTCACCATAAAAATGCAAACGCCCTCTCCCCAAACCAAACGGAACAGCCGCGTCCGAGGATGTGCGCGCCTCCCGGAGAGCCCGCCGGTTATAAAAGCGGAACGAGGCGGCGGCCTC